TATATTCCTGTTGATCATAGAGACTAAAGTGGTACTGATCAAAGTTATTTTCTCTTCAGTCCACCTCTACCTCTGCCTAGTAAATATAGGGTTTAGCTTGCCCTGGCAGGAGTGACTTGCGTTACAGCAAAGATACCTGCTTTGTCTCCCCCTTACCCCTTTCTCTTCAAGGTCATTATAGGTAGGTCCAAGTAAGAAGCCTCTGTCACACCTGATGAACTGACTTGTAACATTGAATTTATTGACCTTAGTGGTCCTACCTGTAGCTCTCATTGCTGCTTCATGAAGAAATGTGAGATTTGGAGGGTGGTTCCCACACTTTGATGCACATTGGAATAATTTAGGGCTCTTTAAAAAACAAAAATGGATGCATGGTTCCCACCCCCTAGACATTCTAATTTAATTGGTATGGGGTGTGACCTGGCATGGGGATATTTTAAAAACTCTCCAGGTGATTTTAACGTGTTGCATTCTGAGACGATGCCAAAGGCATAATTGAATCCTTTTGGCAATCTTAGTCACCTCTGCTGGGCTTGCTTGGAATTACTTGTGGAAATGAACCTTTAGAATAATTTTCAGGCCTTCTTGGCTTGCTTCAGAGAATCCTCTTGGGCCTTTGAACTGCTCAGCCTTTTGTCATGTTGTCAGGTATAAGCTGGCTCCAGGTCATCTTTTTAACTTAGAGAGGGCTCCAGGGTCTCTTTTCTGCCTAGTAGCTCCCACACTCACTTTATTCCTTGATGTCCTTCTTTAGTTCCCTAGTGTAGAGTGGGGTTAACGGCTCCCAACTTCGTTGCTGTTCTCGGAAACAAACCCTTTTTATGTTAAATGTTTAACTTCTTAATATAGAAAAGTGTGCAACAGGGGCACCTCAGTGGCTTAGTTGGTTATGCATCTGACTTCAGCTCATTTCTCCCGGTTATTGGGTTTGAGCCCCATATTGGGCTCCATGTTGACAGTGTGGAGCCTGCTTGGGATTTTCTCTCTCCTTCTCCCTTTGCCCCTCCTTCACTTTCACTCTCTCTCTCAAATAAATAAATAAACTTAAAAAAAAAAAGAAAGAAAAAACATTTAACAAACAGAAGCAAGTTATAAAGCATATGGAGATTTTAGTACTGTAGTCCCCATAAAGCTTCTTGACTTCTCTCTGAGATGGTGTGCTTTAATTTTGTTGAGGGCAGTAGTGAGCCAGACACATTCCAAGGAGAGTTGAGGCTATGAAGACCTTTCTAGTATGCTGCTTCTCTGAGTTTAATAGGTAGTATACAGTTAATATAGAGCCATAAGGGGCTCTTTATCTTTGGGCACATCACACTGAGAAACTGCGTTTAAACTAGGTTTTCTTTTTCCTTAGGGAAAAAGAAATTTATTAGGGGGCATACTCTCCTTAGCTAACTTTCTGTCTTGTCCACCATCAGTGTGTTTTCTCTCTGTGTCTGGTGTTGGTACTGCCACTCATCTTTTAATCAAAGTTTATGGTGGTGTGCAATTTTCATTGTTCAGCTTATACCTAATTGGAGGAACTTTGCCTCTTAGAGATTAGACTTCTTGTGTTTGACTGTCAACCCCTCCTTCCTCTGCCAATCTGTTCTCTGCCCAATGCTATTACAGTCTTGGGCTTTGTCATTTTACTGGAGTTCTGTAAAACTTCTGAGTTCTAATAAGGCTGAGTTTAAGGACCCCTTTTAAAGGAAAGGACAGACTCTGAATGGAGGTATAGATTCTGAACTTGGAGCTCTTGCCAAAGTTCAGGCATGACTTGTGGCCTGTGTAAAAATCTTAGGCAGGTTAATCACCTCACTAAGGTTTACTATGATCATCTTTAATGTGAGATAACAACTTTCTTTTGAGGTCATTTAGAATAATGAGTGACATAACCCTTGTGAAGTATTTATAAGATAAGAACTCAGTTCAGGTTGTTCATGGCTGCAGTTTCTGCTGTTACTATTTTACTGCCATTGTGTAAAGGAAGGGCCTTTACACAATTCAGAGCCTGAGCTTTGAATCTTACCTCTACCACTATCCAGTTGTATGACCTTGGACAATTTATTTAACTTCTCTTCACCTCAGTTTTTTTCACCTGCTAAGTGAGAACATTCTTAGTGTAGGAGTTGTGAAGGGTTAGTGAGTTCATAGAACCAGCTTAGAGCAGTATCTGGTATGAAGTGATTGTAGTAAGGCTGTTGCTGTTATTTAACTGAAGTAACCTCTTTACCTCTGGTTTTGAGTATCTTCCTTTTTGGCCTTGAATATGTATAGTGACCTAAAACTTTCCAGGCTGTCATTTTAACCTTCATTTGCCAAAGTACCTAGGAGTCCGTGCTCTTAATTCTTCAGTAATGTCACTTTCTGATGTTACCATGCTAGCTTTAGAACCCAACTGTGACTGCTTCACAAGGACCCAGTTGGTCCTTCTGCTATGGTAGGTCAGCTAATGTGACACACAGATCCGACTTAAAAAGACATCAGAGCCAGTGAAGAAAGATCTCTAAAGGAGAAATATAAGTAATATACACGTGAGGAATAGTCTTTTAAAATTTTGTTTGGTGGGTCACCTGGGTGTCTCAGTCGGCTGAGTGTCTGACTTCGGCTCAGGTCATGATCTCACAGTTCGTGGGTTCGAGCCCCGCATCGGGCTCTGTGCTGACAGCTCAGAGCCTGCAGCCTGCTTCGGATTCTGTGTCTCCCTCTCTCTCTGACCCTCCCCTGGTCACGCTGCCCCTCTCTCTCTCTCTCAGAAGTAAATAAAACATTTAAAAAAATAAAAAATAAATAAAATTTTGCTTGGGAATCCAGAACTTCCACTTTATAATCTCAAATGTAAAATTTCTGTAGAAAAAACATAAGGTTACATTTAGTTGACTTTGCTAAGCAAAGTTTAGTAATCTAGTATTGATATTAATAGTAGTGTTTCAGTAAGATCTGAAGAGATTTATTCTTTGCATGATAACTAAAGCAATAAGCGGAAGTAGAAAAAAATTTGAAAAGGAGTCAATTCCTAATTTTTAATGCGGTTATTACTTTCTTAGTAATTAATATGCCCATTTAGTGGTGTAGTCATGCTCGTAGTGGGGTTTGGCAGGATGGGCACACTTCAATAAGAGTAGATGGGTGTTCTGCAAACCTTGGCGGCCCTGAATTTATTAGATGTATATCAGGGACTGGATGGCATGGTAGGAGGAAGAAAGTGGGAGTTTTCTGAACTGGACAAGTGGATTGCCAGGGTAGAAGATCCCCTGCTTACACATTTCTGAACACACTCACATCTAGGGAAAGTTTGATTACAAAGTTGTGTATTTTGATTTTTTGCATAAGATTAAAAGATGTTCTTTATTTTTATTATTTAAAACAAAAGTTTGAAAACACCTGTTCTAGAAAGCAAAATTTTAGGCAAAGCCACAGTGCGTAAGATGTGTGTTGGCTTAGTAAACATCTGTCAAAAGTGATTAAATGCTCTGCAGAGTTTACCTTTCTAGTCTTACCCTCAGGCTAGATTTTATTAGTTCAGTTATGTGATTAGACCCTATTTAAGTGGAATAAAATTGGTATGTTTTATTTGCCCATACTGCTGAAAGTTAAAAAGTTCATAGGGATTATTTTCATTAAGCTGTGACTCCAGATGTATTTCTATGTAAAGAATTTTACTCCATTAACTATAATTGAAGAGTTTTCTTTGCTGGACACTTTGGTGATTCATACACATTGTTACTCTCCAGGTCTTTCTAGATTCCATGATTGTCATCGCCTTTTTTTTTTTTTTTAAATTGAAGTATAGGGCACTTGGGTGGCTCAGTCCCTTAAGTGTCTGACTCTTGATTTTGGCTCAAGTCATGATCTCATAGTTTTTGTGTGTTCGAGCCCCATATAGAGCTCTGTGCTGACAGTGTGGAGCCTGTTTGGGATTCATTCTGTTTGTCTGTCTCTCTCTCTCTTTCTGCCCTTCCCATGCTCTCCCTCTCTCTCAAAATAAGTGAATAAACTTTAAAAAAAAGTTTAGAAATGCCTTAAGTAGCATTAAAAAGTTGAAGTATATATAACCTTTCAAATTTTCCTTTAATTATAAAAGCACATTCCTGTATCATATAAAATTTAGAATTGAAGATTTAGAAATACAGGCAAATTTTCTAACCTGTTTTAGCAGTTGTCATTATGTCTGGCATTAATTTAGAAGTAGAAACTTAGAAAAGGTAACTAATTTTTCATCCTAGGTCAGATGCTTAAGATGATCTCCTTGCCATTAGTAATATTTTTTAGTGACATTTTCAAATATTGTGGCACTTCTTGTAGGTTTTTTTTAAAGCCAGATAGACATTTTGATTTTCCTGTCTGTTTCACATTTTCTCATTTTCTAACTTTCACTTTGGCATCTGCCTTTATTTTTATTTTTTTTTTTTAGGAAGAGGAGGAGGAATAGCTTTTACACAGTTGGGTAATCTGGGTAATCTATATTTGAATAGACTGCTATCAAACTTAGTATACGTCCATAGTTTTAGTTACAAATGACAAGAAGTCATTCAGAGAATTTTGTGACCATGGTGACATTTCAATTAATTGAGATCTATTTCTAGTTTAAATTTTTGAAGAGCAATGTAAATGAAACTGATAAAAGCCTTGGAAGCTTGCATAGTGGTAGAGAAAGTTGTCAAACGATGTAGTTTCAAATCACAACGATATGTAGAATCTCTTTTTTTAAGGGAGTATTTTCTTTTTCTTTTTTTAATGTTTAATTTTGAGAGAGAGGAAGTAAGAGAGCATGTATACAGGTTGGGGAGGGGCAGAGAGAGAGACACACACAGAATCTGAAGCAGGCTGTCTGAGCAGTCAGCACAGAGCCTGATGCAGGGCTCAGATCCGTAAACTGTGAGAAACTGTGAGATCATGATCTGAGCTGAAGACCGATCCATCTAGGTGCCCCTTATAGAATTTCTTAATCTATCATTGTCTATTCTGTTGCTGGTATAGCTTAAGACTAATCAACTTTTCTTTTCTCAATTTTACAGAGTTAATTGAGAGTTGGAGGCAACCTTGCTGAAGATGAAGAATATACAATATTAGAGGAGGAGATTTTTTTTTTTCTTTCAAAAGTCTTGATTGTTTGGTGGCTTACGACTAGTTACCACTCTACATTTGAGTCTGTTTTCTTCATCAGAAATGATTTTTACAATTTCAAGAAAAACTATGTCCCAGAAATTGAGTTTACTGTTGCTTGTATTTGGACTCATTTGGGGATTGATGTTACTGCACTATACTTTTCAACAACCAAGACATCAAAGCAGTGTCAAGTTACGTGAACAAATACTAGATTTAAGCAAAAGATATGTTAAAGCTCTAGCAGAGGAAAATAAGAACGCAGTGGATGTTGAGAATGGCGCCTCCATGGCAGGATATGGTAAGATGACCATGGACTGTTCCTCATTTTCTCCTCTTCAACTTATCTGCATTTAATGATAGTTATGGAGGGAAGTCTATTACTTCATGTGTAGGTCTTTTTTTTTTTTTTTTAATGTTTTATTTATTTCTGAGAGAGAGAGAGAGGCAGCATGAGCAGGGGAGGGTCAGAAAGAGAGACACACACAGAATCTGAAACAGCCTCCAGGCTCTGAGCTAGTTGTCAGCACAGAGCCCGACGCGGGGCTCGAACCCACGAACTGTGAGATCATGACCTGAGCCGAAGTCGGACGCTTAACCGATTGAGCCACCCAGGTGTCCTGCATAGGTCTTTACAAAGTAAATTTTTCTTCTCTTTTTATTATGAAAATTTTCAAATATACTAACAAATAGGAACTATGATAAATACCTATATATCTGTCGCCTAGATTTAACAATTATTAACATTTTACCAATTTATTTTGTCTGAGTTTTTGAAGACCATTAAATTGTAGAAATTGTGAAATTTCACTGCTAGATATTTCCATGTGAATCTCTAAAAAAATGACCTTTCGGTACATAATTATAATACTATTATAACACCTAGTTCATATTTACATTTTCCCGACTGTGCCAGTATAGACCATCAATTGTATAACATCTATTAATTCCTAGAAGCAGCATTTGCCTGTGTCTTCAATATTGTTTACTGCCATTCTCCTTTTCACATCCTGGTTTCCGGCTGTGTTTTTCTTTTCTTTTTCCTTCTTCTTCTTTTTTTTTTTTTTCTGCTGTGTTTTAAGTTCTGTATGCCTGCCATAGTCTCACTTGCCTTTAAGACTTAAGAGAGAGGGGGCACCTGGGTGGCTCAGTCAGTTGAGCATCTGACTTCGGCTCAGGTCATGATCTCACTGTTCGTGGGTTCGAGCACGGCGTTGGGCTCTGTGCTGACAGCTCAGAGCCTGGAGCCTGTTTCAGATTCTGTGTCTCCCTCTCTCTCTGACCCTTCCCTGCTCACACTTTCTCTCTGTCTCCCTCTCTCTCTCTCAGAAATAAATAAAACATTAAAAAAAAATAAAAAGACATGAGAGACGAGCTAGAACACTTTGTATATGAGTGTGTGGGCATTTTCTCTATTTCAGTGGCTTTTTTTTTTTTTTTTTTAGTTATACGTGTTTGTATTTAAAGAATCAAAATGTGTTATGAGTCTGGTAATAAAAAAGGGCAGTTTTTCCTACCCCCAGCAGTATTCAGACTTCTCATTCCTTAGAGCCAGCCATCTTAAATTATTTATTATGATTTATTTGGTGATTACCTCCATACCTCTAAATAACATGCTCTATGAGCTGTTTCTTCATTTTTCAATTATAGAAATTATCTGTTAACTTCCCACTGTGCAGGGTGAGGGCTCAGCTTTCTTTTAAAACCCAAATTGTATCCCCCCACCCTGGGCTGTGTTCACACACACATGTCCTTACAGTCCTGCCATTTTCCCATCTTAATTTTGGTTAGACCAATATTCAGTGTGTGCGTTATTATGACTGTGTTAATGGTATTTATTACTGAGCCATATATTACATGATTGCTTCTTCTTTCACATACAACTGTATTTTCCCCTCTAGAATTAATTAGTAAATACTGATTTTTGTTTCTTTGCCTAGTTTTCTACCCTAACTCTCCCACAGGTGTTAAGTCTCCTCCCAGTATATTCAGACACATTAGGTATTTTATCACATTATTTATCTAGAAGAAATCTTTCCTAGAGCCTTCTGATCTCTGGTTTGGACTCTAGGCTTGTGGTGGTAAATTATTCTAGGATCTTCCTACGTAATCATCCCTTTACCTCGCTCTTGTGTTGGATCTCCTGTTGCCTAGAATCCTGTGGCTTCCTCTTTATTGTTTCTCCCTCATGTTAGGGGAACTAACTGTTCCTTGTAGTTTCCTCAGAAAGGTACGAAGGTCAAAGTTTAGATTCCTTGCATATCTGAAAAGGTCTTTTTATCCTCTTACTCTCATGCTGAATTGAAAATTTAACTGAGTATAGCTTTCTCTTGGGTTTTAAAGGTTTTTTCTTTTTCTCTTTCTTTTCCCTCCCTCTCCTTAGCTTCCATTGCTTTCTGCGAATTTAATGCTGTTATGATTCTTCATTCTCTTAAAAATTTTTATTTATTTATTTATTTAATTAACTTTATTTTTTTTAAACATTTATTTATTTTTGAGGGAGAAATGTGACAGAGTGCGAGAAGGGGGAGGGGGAGAGAGAGAAGGAGACACAGAATCCAAAGGAGGCTCCAGGCTCTGAGCTCACAGCCAAGAGTATGACATGGGGCTCGAACCTGTAAACTCTGAGATCATGACCTGAGCTGAAGTTGGATGCTTAACTGACTGAGCCACCCAGGTGGCCCTGAATTTTTTATGTTTTAAAGTTTATTTATTTATTTTTAGAGAAGGAGAGTGCTCCTGAGTAGGGGAGGGACAGAGACAGCGAGAGAAAGAATATCAGGTAGTCCATACATTGCCAGTGTGGAGCCTGAAATGGGGCTCCATCTCATGAACTGTGAGATCATGACCTGAGTCGAAACCAAGAATCGGACGCTTAGCCAACTGAGCCACCAAGGTGCCACTGATTCTTCTTCCTTTATATGTGACTCACTTTTTGGAAGTTTGTAAGATCTTTGTCCCAATCCCATAATACTGTTCTGAGATTTTTCAAAATGATGTCCCTGGGTATGAATTTCTTTCACACATATGCTGGGACTCCAGTGGACACTTTATTAATTTTCCCCCAAATTTTATAAGTTTATTCTTTTACTAGTATCTAAGATATCTGAGAGATGTAACATTCATGACTCAGGATAGTGATCCTGCTCTGTCTCTACACATCATCTACAGCATCTCAAGTGGTCTTCACCAATCCAGCCATTTCCAATAAGGATATACTGCCCAAGTTATGAAAGTCCAAAAACCAAAATACAGTTGTTAAAAAATTGTTTTTTAATGTTTTTTAAAAAATTTTAATTTTTGAGAGTGAGAGCATGAGTGGCGGGGGGTGTGGGGGGAGCAGAGAGAGAGGGAGACACAGAATTTGAAGCAGGCTCTAGGCTCTGAGCTGTCAGTACAGAGCCCAGCGTGAGGCTCAAACTCACACACTGTGAGATCATGACCTGAGCTGAAGTTGGACACTCAACCGACTTAGCCACCCAGGCGCCCCCAAAATACATTTGTTTTTAAACATAATCGTAACTGTATGTAAGCAATATAGTCAAAATGTTTTCAGACTTTTCAACTATTATAACTCTAATACCTACCGCTATTTTTTCCTTTTTCTGCCAAATGATATATTACTTCTTTATGCAAATACTCTGTGAGTTCCTTCACAAATCTAAATTTCATGAATGTCAGAAGAAAGAATTAGAATTACAGAAAGTCTTTCATTTATATTTATCCTTGGCTTAATTTCCTTTAAATGTGGATTATCTTTACCCAGTGAGGGTTGCCTTAATGCCACATAGATATCACCCATTATAGTTTACATATCCATTCATTTACTGTGTTGATTGAGGTTTATCAGTGATGCAGTCATAGCACAAGGTTTATTTTACATTTCATCATTGTTAAAAAAAAGTTTAAAACCATTTCACACACTTCATTAAAATGGTATTCTTGAAATATTGTGAGCAAATAGGAAATTTCTGTATATTCATTTTGAAAAGAATAGACTTCTTTGTAACTGCTAAAAATGGTCACTTCTCTGTACATACAGCAAAGAATAATCAGTCAAGTATAAAACTAAGATTTTTTATATTTCAGATTACTTCAACATGCTAATACAAATAAAGTGAACATTCTTTCAAAAGAACATACTACCTTCATGGATAAACTTCTGTTAGTGTATTAGGCTTTTGTTTTTCCCTCTCTACCTGCAGAAGAGTAATTATATTTTGAGAAAAATATTTACTAGAGATCAGAATTTAACTTTCTTAAAAGTTTGGGTTTCTAAGATGTATCTGTGTTAAATATATACCTTAAGTAAACCCTGCTACTTATGAAGGATATATTTTGTTTACAACCATCAAGCAATGATTTTAAAATGAGACTAAATCTAGTGAAAATTAAATTCTAAAGTACTTTTACCAAAAGCTTGATTTGTATTTATTTATGAATCACAACTCTTGCAATTGTTTCAAATAATTCTTTTAAAGTAACTGGCTCTTTCTACACTAGTCTATTTATTTCCATGACGTGCTTGTTTTATCCCAAACTGGAACTTATCAGTTTGTATAAGAATATTTAATGTGTCATCTTTTTAAGTTTTAATTTTGATAAGTTATTGTCTGATTTTTGTAGAACTATATCCAGCCTAGCTTCTAGATCACATAAAAGATTCTGAAATTTGGGGTAAAATTTCTGCTCCATTCCTGATCCGTTAACAACATTGGTGCAAATACTTGCCTTACTGCTTGCTTGGTAAAGGGAATTTATAGGTGATTCTAACAGATAAAAATAAGAATGTTGTCTTGTAGATTCTGATTGGTAATTATTTCAGGTCGCAGCTTGAAAAACACCAGCACTTTATCTTTTATGTCAGCAAATCAATTGTGTTGGAAAAGGACATTAGATGTTGGATTGTGGCACCCTAAGGAACGTTTGGTTTCTGTAATTCAAAAAGCTGTTGATTTCAGGACAGCTGTACCTGAGTGGCTGGTCCCAGGGCTCTGACTCTAAGTAACTCTGGGTAGTAGTGAGGATGAAAATCTTTAGAACGTCCCCATTTCTGCTTGCCTTGATTTTGGAGATAGGGAGAAGGGAGCTTCAGTGGGCACTCTAAATCCTGAAACATATGTCCTTCGACTTAGGAATATTTTCTCTAAATTATTTATTTGATTTCTTCTTCCCCATTGTTTTCATTCTTTCTTTCTGAAATTCTATTATTCAGCCTTTGAGCCCTATGAACTGGTCCTTGAATTTTCCTTTGTTTACTCTCCTGGTTTCCATCTCTGTGTCTTTTTTTTTTTTTTTTTT